TGTTTGGTAATACATTGGATAATTAGTTGTAGAAATTTTAGCTTTAATTTATTGGCCAAATTTTAATAAGTAATATATCCTTATCATAGAAGATAAATAAATATAATAATATCAAAAGATATCCTACTAATGAAATCTCTTTCATATTTAAGAATATTTATATATAAGGCTTTTTAAAGTATTTAGAAATATTCTAATATTCTTTTTTATACCAAATCATAACTAACTATTTACCAATAACTTATATTTTTAATAAAATCAAAGAAAATCTATAATCTATTTTCAAAAATTCATCTTTATATCATAATTTTTTCATAGCTCTAATATTTTTTTTTGACAAAGATTTTTTTTTTTTATTCAAACTTTAAAAATTAATACTTCTTGATCAAATCTTTTAGTTTTTTTTTAAAAATTTCTAGATAATATAGACTTTAATTTAAAACTTTATCACAAAAAAATAAACCATAAATCGATTATAAATTATTTAATATTTTAGAAATCCTAGCAAGTGCTCTAAATCCTAATTTACAAGCACCTGGGTACTATTTACTCTATATCTCAAAAATTCTAATTTTAAATACTATGAAATTTATTTATAAGATTTAATAATATGATATCATATATTTTTAGAAATTTTGAACCAAAATCTTGTCAAATTACTCAAGATATAGCTCAAAACAAAACCACTACTAAACTAAGTGACTTACTACCCTTAGATTGCAAGTGATGTCTTTAACTTCCTATATCTCCTTCATTCTAGATTATAATTTATTAAGCAGTACTTAAAAACTATAGCCAAGAAAATGTTTTCTCTGATTCTAATTGCTGATTCTTCATTTCTTTTTGTAAGTATGCATTATGTCCAAAAGAACAACAATAGATATAAAATCAACACCTTGACTTTGGGCGCCTATATTTCCTTCATAAAAACTCCAAATCACACAAAACTTATATCAAAGTTATAGCCAAAAACTTAAACTTCCTAACCTTAGCCTCTTAAATTCAAATGGCCTCAAAAGAATAACCCTAATTCCTAATAAGACCTTAGGTAGCCTCCTTAAAGTCCATTGAGTATGAATTTTTGCCAATAAGAATAGAGATTTTCATCATCTAACTCCATTCATCTATATTATTGGCCTAACTATTCTTTTTATACAAAAAATCCTTCTTTAATTTTTTTTCTATTAAACTTTACATAGTATATATCCTAAACACCAAATAAAAGAAATAAAATAAGATTTTAAGAGTCATCAATGTCTAATAAAGATGGCTCTAAATATATAAAAACTATTTTCAATATAAAATCAACCTCAATAATAGTCCTTTTAAACTAACTACTTCAAATTAATAATCTAATCATATTTTGTAATCAATTAAAATTTAATAATATGGCTCTTATTATATTTTATAATAAATTGTATATTAAATATATATGTACCTTATTTTTATATTCTACCCAAATCACAATACAACAACACTCATATTTTAACTTGCAAAGCAAGTTAAAATATGTGTCGTATAAAGTTTAGACCTTTTTGAAGTCATACAAAACATTTTCACATAGCTTATAGATAGATATTATATATAGAGGCAAGAATAAAGCCTTATTTAGTCTTATTAATACTTTTCTTGCTTTTATTCTTATTACAAGAAGTCTTTATTTGTCTTATCTTTTGATAATATCCATTCTACTTTCTTTTTAATTTACATACTTCTTTATTTCTATTTTTTCATATTTTTTTTAAAAACTCAATTATTTATTTTTTTTCATCAAGTTTTTGTCTTTAATAAATATTGATTAAATATTTTATATTTAAGTTTAATCAAATATGTCTTCAAATATTTATTTAAAGATATTAAGAACAAATCTTTTAAATCTTATAATATTTTTGAATTTGAATTTAATAACTTTTCCATTTTGAAGTACATTGATACGTTTTAAGAAGTGAAATACAATCATGTGCTCTTCAAGCTTGTCACAATTTTGAACCAATATAACATTTTTAATATAAAAAGACTTTGGAACTAATATCAAGTGATTTTTTGTGGATTCAATATGAAAGGAAATTAAAACTTTGTATAATCATGAGATATATGTTTAAAATCAAAATTCTTAGTCCTTGATAATATAGGCTTTTTAAACCATTATCTATACAAAACAACCATGATCACTTATTTCTATAGATTTTATTAAAAATCTTTTAATCTTATATTAATTATATTCTATGTTTGTCATAGTAAATTATTTCACTAAAATATCATGTTTTGTACCTTGTACAAAATCTATCATATGTAAAAAAAGAGCTAGACTTTTTCTTAACAATATTTATTAATATTACAGATTTTCAAGGGATATTATATGAAATAAAGAGAATTAATTTGTGTCAAGATTTTAGAAAATCTTATTTAAGATTTTGAAGGAAGAAATAATATTATCCTTGGCCTTTCATCCTAAAACTATTTGACAAACAAAAAAAGTAAATTAACTATTGAAACAATGTATAAGATGTACTATCAACTATCATCAAGCTGATTGGACAACTCTTTTATCATTTTTATGAATACATAATTTAAAACATTCATTCTTCATTAAAATATAACTAATTTCTTTATTTTAAAGCTAAAAATATCATTAGAATATAATTTTTTATTATAATATTATAATTGATTTCTTATATATATATATATATAAATTAGAAATAATAATAACATGATAAATATCAAAACTTACAAAAAATAAGTAGTAGAAAAGAACCATAAAGGTCACATAATAGAAGAAGAATAGTAGAGCTGTAAAGACAAAATATTGATCAACCATAAAACCTATTAAAAAATAAATTAATAAATGACAAAACATTGATCAACCATAAAACCTATTAAAAAATAAATTAATAAATGACAAAATTTTCTAATTTTTTTATTCCAATGATTAAAAAATAAATTTAACATTATATTTGCATTTTATTTATACAATTATATTTGAGATTTCTAAAATATGTGGTATTATTTTAAAAAAATACTTTAATTTTTATTAATTCTATTAGTATTTTTAGGAACTATTTAAAAAAAATTGTTACATGTATATACCACAAGTATATTTGTATACTCATATGAAGAAAACTAAAACTAAGTGAAAAGGTGAGCTTTCATAATAGATATTTTATCTTATTTAAGTAAATAAGTTAAATAGAAATAGAGGTTGGTAGAAACATGTTAGAGAAATAATATCTACCTCAAAAAGCTTCAAAAAAGATTTTTAGATCCAATTTAGATACTTAGGCTTTTACAAATATGCCATAATGCTATTAAAAAAATCACATTTTTCTTATTTCTAGAAATTTATGTTAAAGGAACTTACAATTACATGCTTGGACCACAAGTCTTGGGATTCCTACAAAGCTTTTGCTATACCTTCTTTATATCTAATATATAAGTAAGACTAATACCATCCTTAGTATTTTCAACACCTTTCTTTTGTTCTAATCATAGTTCAAGTCTCTCTAATTTCTTTATATTTGGCAATAGCCATTTCAATTCTTATAATTATCTTTTCTTTCTTCACATTCTCTTTTTTTTAATAACACATGAGTGAATTGTTTGCTTATAATTCTACTATTATTCATGTCCTTTAGAACTTTATATTTTGTATTTGATTTATATGTTTAAGTTTTAAAATTTTTTAAACTTAAACTTTTCTTTATAATTTTTAAAGATCACATTTTAGATGCATATAAAAATATAAATAATTACATGCCAAGAAAGTTATCCTATTCTTTGTATTGATTTTTTTTGCTTAAGTTTTGTTATTAATTATTTTTTTTACAATATGGAAATCCAATCATGTAAAATATTTTTTAATTAATTCTTTAAATTATGGAATATTTTTAAATTCTAAATAATTTTTTATTTAAAACTTATAAGCTTTTAAAAAAGATTTTTCTTCTTATTAAAAGTTGTAAAAGCTTGTAAGAACTTTTCTAGGATACTTGCAAATTATTAGAATTTATTAAAATATTATGAAAGTTAATTAATTTTTATATTGATGTGCTTATTGAATATTTAATGCCTAATCTTATTTTTGTAAATTTGAATGTTTTTATATATTCATAGGCTTTAAAAATGATTAAACTTGTAAAATTTGAAAAAAAATTAACAAAATTTGATATTATAAAATTAAATTTATATATATATATATATATATATATATACATATATGTATCAGTTTATCAAAAGGTTCTTTATTATTAATTAATTTGTTTAAAATGGATTCTAATATTTTTAAATATTTTTATAATAAATTTGCATAGTTCTTTAAAAAAATACATATAAATTATAAAGATTGCAATTTGGTGCTTATTGTTTCCATAACAATCTTAGGAACAATATGCAAATTTTATAAAATATATGTTAAATAATAATAAAAAAACTTAATAATTATATTTTTATTATAATAATAATAGACATTAAGAAGTTAAAGAATTTACTATTTAGAAATCTTATTTAGAATTTGACTGATAATGTGTAAAAAATTATACATTATGTTTTTCTTTATGTTTATTAATTTTTAATGTGCAATATGAAATTATCAGTCAAATTCTAAATAAAATTTCAAAATAAAACTTAACAAAAAACAGCCTTTGATAATTTATTAAAAAATTAATATTTTATTTATTTTCTTAGAATTGGATCCATTTTAACTTTAATTCTCTCCATAAATGTGATGGGTGTAGAATAAATTTTTCAAATGTAAAATAACTAGTATATTAATAAAAACTAGTAATTATCTTTCAAATTAATTGAATAGCATTTTTAATGCACTGTAATAAGACTTAGTACTATTATTTGTGTTTTGTTATACATATGATAAACAATTCAAGTCCTCCAATCTTTGATCTATTACAAAAGTTTTGTTTTCTTATGTGCAATAAAAATTTCTCAAAAAAAAACTATATATATATATATATATATGCAAATTTTCCAAAAATCTAAAACAAACCCAAAAATCTAAGACTGAGATTTTTATTGCATATGATAACAATAAAAAAAAATAAACAATGACAAAAAAATTAATATTACTCATTGTCCAAATTAATCTACATTTGTATATTGTAAAATAATTATAGATGCAATATTTAACTAAAATACAACATCAGGACCTCTGACCAACAAAACTCAGACACCCTTTCTCCGATAATCTGTTGCAGCCGTGGGCCTGGGCTTGGTTTCTTCCTGTGGCGAAGTTTCATCAAAAAGCTCCTCAGCTGATACTTAATGAGCTCAAAAAAGATCTTTGATCTACTTTCCTGTAAGCTAAAATAGTAATTCCTTCTCTACTTCCCACAATTCCTACATCACATTTCTTTTACACACTGAGACCCCGCTTGGGCGAAGAATTCAACATGGAGTCCCCAACGTTGGAGAGAGCAATCTCGGCAATTCTCACCACACTCGACACAGGGAGAGGCTGCAGCGAGGAAGATGAAGCCGACAAATCCTCCTCGCGGTCAGGCTCGGAAGATATTACACTACTCTCAGCCTTCACGTAGAACCTGTTGTTAACAATATGAAAAGCCTCTGCAGTTCGAACTTCCTGACATAGCGAGCAACAGCTGCACATCAGCCACTGAGCAAGGTCGCTCAGGGTAGGTTGTCCACAACACCATGTCTCCGCAGGAAGGCCGTAAGTTTCTCTCATTCGCATTCGCCAATATCCCCCATAAAACAACCCACATACACTCACCACCACGCCTGCTGCTCTCAGAAAATGCCGAAATTCCCTGGCATACAACAGCAATCAATAAACCACAATAAAATCAGCTCCTGTTCTTTCACACTGCGAAAGCACTCCCTTGCAATTCTCTTATACCCTCCAACATATATAAATACAACACTTGAGGAGCAAGCTTTGAGCCTGGCCACGAGAAAGGTGTGACTGACCTGCTGTCCACATTGACACTTGCCATCTCGAAAATAACAAAGGGAGCCAAAACCGCGAGCAAAAATGTGGCGAAATGGACGTAGCGGTTACCAAACCCAAGTCGGCCAAGACTATGACCCAGGACGCACGGAAAACAGAACATCGTCGCGACCACTAGCGTAGGAGCCTCACAACATTCAATCAAGCCCCCTTGCCACTGAGGATTTTCAACCACATTGCCTGCCATAGGCCCCAAACTTGAATTCCTGTCAAGAAGGCGATGGCGATATCTCGGGGGTAACGCTTTATCAGCTTTGTCCGTGGCTAGTTCCACCGCATCGTCATCGCCAAGAGGCGAATCCTTTCCTAATGGGCTCATACTAGTGTAGATTCCGGCTGCACAACCTGCACTTAAAGCCGTTACAAAGCAAACCAAGACCGCAATTATCGGGCGCTGAACCCTATTGTAATACCAGTTCAATGCGCAGACAGCGTACTGGGCAAAACAGTTCAACTGATACAGCAGCAGAACCACCAGCATGTGAGACCACTCATTAGGTTTTGACGTTCCTCGTTTGCTGTACACTTTGCGAAGGTTTTGAATATCCTTGCGGTGCCACCGCAACAACCACATCAGGTGTAATGTCCGTGTGGGATGGAGCAGCAGCACGAAAAGCGTGAAGAGAGCATTAATGGTTTGATTGGAGGCCTCGAACCACAGGTCCCGGTCTGCCTTGTCTGGCAACGCATTGTTCAGCATGCCCACCATGACCATGAATAGCACCGCACCGGACACGAAAACCGCCATGCCCCACACAAGCACCGCCCAATTCTTGGGATCCCGAAGCCACTCTCTTCCTAATTCCTTCACAGTCTTCCATCTAACCTCTCCCACACAGGGCAATATGATTCGAAATCTGTCTGTGGACGATGACTCTGCTTGATTAAACTGACCTAAGTTATTCGGTGGAGCGAAGATGATGCTCACGGGTTTGGAAAACCTGGGGGAGATTGTCACCCCTGGAATCGATGCGGAAGAACTGCGTCTTCTCGTCAGAGAGTCCTCAGATCCATCGTCAAATGCAATCTCTATAGATTCTCCTGTGTGCCTGAGGGGCACAGGACGTGAAGCGGAGTGGTCTTCAAACACTCGATTGACAGCACTTCGAGAACTAGGGTGAGGGCCTGAAAGACGGGTACTGTCGCCCATGGCTGATACGAGCGAAACTTTCTCCATAACATGGCGCCACCATATGTCCACATCTAACTTCACTCTCCAGGGCTGCGCATCTCGCATGGACATATAAGAAACATATGACACACAAATGAACCTGGAGAAACAAGGAAAACACAGGAAGAAGATATCACAGGATGTATGCTAGTTTTTGCATGTCTGTCATGAATGCGTGAAATGTAACCAAGGAACTGATGCTCCCTGGCTGGTGGTTATGACAAAAGAGCCCGCGGAACTGGTGGAATGGTAGGGAAAACCCGTGAGAGAAGTTTGTCTTACAGATGGTGTACAACCACTGTAAACATTAAACCAGGGTCGGGGGGCCGCAGGCTGTGGAGCAAGTTTCCACACGCTGACGCAGCAAATGTAGAACGATCTATTCTAGGCGTCCGTATTTGAAGCAAGGCAGAGAAGCCAGTCCCCGGCAGCAAAACAAGTGGGAGAGGAAGAGGCAATTCCGGGGGACCATAAGAGGAATCACCCCAGGGTAGGGAGAAAGAGAGAGGACGGAGGGAAGACAGAAGGATGTAGTGAAGTGCATGGCTAGGTTGAAACCCAACTGCCTTGATTACTGGTTTAATCAGTAATGGCCAGCGAGTTGGGCTTTAAGACTGTTCTTGTAACGCTGATTTGCAGTGTGTTGAGGTTAGGTGAGCTTTGAACAATGCAAGCTCAATCTTCTCCCGCAAAAGTTTGCAGCAGGATGCAAGCTGAAGTACGGCACTGCTGCGCGTGGATTGACTGACAACGAGCTGGCATTGTGAGCAGTTCTCATTCAGTGGGCTGACGCTTCCACTTACAGCGGCACGCGATGGAAATTCTTGAGAGTTCGCGCCTTTTTATTTCTTTTTTCTTTTTTTCTCCTTCTTCCTTTGCACTCTATACCCGTGACCTAGGGATTTGGAAGTACCACAGGTAAGTTTATCATCTTCGACAACCCCACCTGTTTCTGGTTTCCTAGTTGAGTTTTAAAAAACTCTTGAACAATTGGTTGCATCTCGGGGAAGACGGTGGAGTTTTCTCGCGATATGTCAGCATCAAAGGTCACATGGAAGGGAATAATAAGTCGACCCATTCAAGTTGCAAGGAACCCCAAAACTACCACAGGAATGGGGTGGGATGAAATCACAGGTAGGTGGCTTCGACGAAAGTGAAGATGATGGGGTCTAACCAAGGCTCCTAAGTTTCCGCAACGATACGCCCACGAGCAAGGAGCTGGACGGTGTATGCTCACCAGCATTTCCGTCTCTCGTCTCTTGATTTGCAGGTAGCCAACCTCGCTCTGTGCCTTTGGGTTTTGACTCTAGAATTACGAGGGTGTCACGAGTTTTCAACGGTGGGGACAGATTGATACCTGCAGCAGCATCTTTCGTTCTTAAGGGTGATGCGCATGTTGAGAAGGTTGGAGAATGAGGGAGGGCTGTCGTACTTTTATCTTTGATTGCAACTTGGTCGGGCGAGATTCCCAGAGCCGTGGAGGCGTAGCAGTTTTGGGTGGTACATGGGTATGTACATGTTGGAAGGCCTGCCGAGAACAAACACGAAGGGTCAGCACTGGATTCTCATGAAATTCTCAAGGTTCACGATTTTAGAAGCGTGGCAACTGCTGCCAAATTCCCTCTTCGCGGGTACTACATCCTCGTCCTCACTGAGTGTACATTTTTCAAGAAAATTTCACTTTCTTCTTTAAGCAGCTAATTGTGAGTTTTGTCACAGAATGGACCGTGGTTTTCAAAATATAATCACACTCTGTTGAATTTATAGGTGGTTGGGAACGTTTCAAAAAATCTTGTGAAGGCTCTGCAATATCATCCTTCTGGAAATTAAGCTGAGACTTTGCAGAAGACGCGGCTGTTGTTATTACGACGGCACCAGTTAATAGACAGCTGTTGGATGGTCTCATGTATCAGATTTTACTGTGCGCAGATCAGTCTGGGTGCACGTCCATGGCAGCACTCTGTGCAGGAGGGTACTGGTAGCGATACACTGTATTTAGATTGCGCTCCGCGTATCAAATGTCTTCTACGAACAGGCTTTAAGGGAGGCAAGTCACTGATCCGTGTACCCCGGAATTTCAGTGTAGTCAGTGTTTCTCATGCTGATTCATAGTCTCCATACATATCTGTTGGTATCAAAACGGGGCTAATGATCAAGAAGGCAAGTAATTATCTCAGGAGGTAGCACACGTCTCTGCCGAAGTCACATATTGCAGTGTCATACTCATGCTCAATATACCTTGTCTAATCATTGCAGTTGTAGGGAGGTCCAATTCTGGATGCGATGAAATCGAGGCTAAAATGGCATGTTGTGTTTCAGAACATATAGAGAATCGCTTTGCGTAACTAATTGGCTGCTGCTCACCATGGTATTAATAGGAAGGCTGGCATATTTGCTTTAGTTTTCAGATCGGCATCTATCAATTTCGGGATCAATTTGTGAAGGTACATATAAAACATAAATTGACGAGATTGAGAAGGTCCTCTTAGCATGACGTCGCGTCATTCGAGATTCTTGGCGTTGCTCGTGACGCAAATAGACGCTCAAACTGTTTCCGCAAGTATGAAGTTTGTGCAGATTCTAGCCTAAGTGAATTTAAACCCAGACTGGTGTAGATCACATGACTATGGAAGAAGATGAATATTGTATCAAGAAAGGAATCAGTTACAAGTAGTGGAACTATATATACTCAATAGTGGTGTGTCTTTGAGTTACCCAACATTGATCTAACATTGTAATTGTTTATAACATTGTTCCTATTGTATTAATACATGCCATTGGGATATTAAAGTTGTGGTGATGAGTTTTTTTAAAAGAGGTACAAGAAGGCACTCTTGGCTTTAATATAGTGTTATTTTTTTAATTTAAGGCCTAAATCCCTAAACTTAGTTTGAAAATTGACCAAGTTTGTTGTAAGATATTTTAGTAAATATTGTTTTAACATAAAAGGCATTGTTTGATTTAGAATTGGATTTTGACATGAATAAGTTGTTAATATCTTTTTGTTGTTAAAAGTTAGATAATAATTTTGTAAATTTTATATTAGTGAGGCCTCTTTGTATTATAATAAAGGCCTTCTATGTATCAAGTAAAGGACCAAGGAATAAATTTACATGTTGAGGTTCAAAAGAGATACATCCAAAGAGAACAATTTTTTTGTAGAGTGGCTTGCCATGACTCTAAAAATTAAGAAACATCGTTAGATAGTGCCATTGTCTTATAGTAAACCTTTTTGTCAAGATTAATTTAATTAACTTTATTTGACTTTTTCTAAAATTGTTTTAGTCTATTTCAAACCACTTTTGAGGTTTTAAGAAGATGAAGAGAAAAAAATATAATTTTCTCTACAATAGAAAAGCATCTCAAAGTATACCTTAAATCCTTAAAATCCTTAAGTTTTTGTGCAGTTAAGTTTGCAATATTAGAAGCAATAGGAACTACTTTTGTGCAAGCAATCACATTCTAGAGTTTGAACATATTAAGAGTAATTTTCTATTTCTATTTTTTATATGACATAGTTAGAAGGAAAAAGGAAAAGAATAAATTATATTCAAAGAACATATGTCAGCCAAAGAGGCTATATTAAAGAAGTATTAAATGCTTGTAAAGTCTTTGCAAAAAACAAGATTTGTTTTTTTACAAGTATACAAAAAGAACTATAATTATTATATTCATCAATTAAAAATTCAACAATGTCATCTTTATATATCTAATATCTTATACTTGACGCTAGTATCATTGTATTTTTTAAAAATAATATAAAAAATTTAAATAGAAAATTTTAAATTCTATATTAAATATGAGTTAAGAGAACAAGAGTCTAATAAAAATAACTCAATGGAGAATCTAGATGAAGGAATGGAGCTTGTCTTTTATAATTTGTATGCGAAAAATTATAAAGAAAAAAATACATTTTACAATGTTTGTTTAAGACTCTAATATCATATAAACTTAGATTGATGTGTTGTACATGATAATGAAAGAAGATAAATATTGTATGAAGTAAATAATCACTTATAAAGAATGAGACTACATGTGCTTGAGAGTGGTGTCTCTTGAGTTATTTAATTTGTTTAATTCTAGATCGAACATAACATTGTAATCATTTATACTGTTCATCAAATCATACTAACAATAAATAATATGTTAGTAATCAAATTAGAAATTTCTTTTGTTGCTTGCAAGAAACAAAAGAAATCAGTCTTAACAAAGTCTTTGACATGTAGGTCATATTATATTTTAAGAATTGTGAATAGTACTGTTAGTTGCATGAATACCACAATACTTACAAAATTTGCAATTTTATGTTATGGAAGTGGTATAATAGTAAGATGGTGGGAGAAGTCTTATTTAGTGCAACTTGCATTCAAATTAATTTGTAATTCATGGCAGTTTACGTTTTGCAAAAATTATAGTTGTACAAGCACTTGTGTTTTTGAGAGAATTGCTTTGTTGGTGATTTTGAGTATTTTTTTTGAAGTATGTAATGGATAAGATATTTTGAGATATCTTTAGACCACTTCAATTTCAATGAAGGTAGAATTTAGATTTGATTTGCAACTTGATGGATTGCTACATGACTCTAGACATATGATTGATTTTTAATCTGCATAATAGTATGTCATTTTGTTTGAACTCATCTAGAGTCCATCACACTAAGAACAATGGTGGTCAATTATTTTTTACCATTCTTCTTGCTTTGCATATGTGCTCTTGAATAATTTAATATGGCATGTACAAATGATTTTAATGGCAGGACTTTCATCACTTACTGAGCCAAATTCAATTAATATTTTGCTCTACTAACATTCAAGGCAAGTTTTATATCCATTGTATAAAGTCTTTTATGCTATTATATTTTTGTAACAATAAAACTATGAAAATTCAGACTTGGAAAATTTTCATGATTTATGATTATTATTTCAATATCCTTTTTTGTCCTTCTGATATTATGGATACCTCTTGAAAAGAATTGCAACAAATGGATAATTATATAGTATAACTTATTTTCAAGAGGTGTCTATGATTTCAATAGGATATCATATGGATAATTGTAAAGTATAACTTATTTTTAAGAGGTGTCCACAATTTCAATAGGACATCATATGGATAATTGTAAGCTGGAAGTTAAAACATGTTGATTAATTATCAGCACATTATTTATTGTTCATTAGGATAATGTTGAAGCTATTTAAAATTTACACTCTTATTAAAAATAAAATCAATGTTCAAAAATGATTTTGATTTTATAAATGTATGTTATAAGCATGTTGTTTGAATTTTGGTATGCATGAGGTATAATATGTGTGTTTTTTTTTTTTTTTTTTTTTTTTTTTTTTTAAATTTCTTTGATTGGCTGCCAAAGTGACAATTGCAATGAAAAGCTCTTTGCAGAAGTGACAATGAACACCACTCATATAAAAAAATTGACTTTGAATGTTTGTATGTAATGTCCCGCGTGCTCCTCTATGCAGATCGCATGTGTGTCTTCCCATTACAATCTCTCTTCTCTTCTTCATCCTCTTCCTCATCCTCGTCCTCTTCATCCTCTGCTTGCGTTCTCTCCATCTTGGTCCTTGGTCTCCTTCCTTCCTTCCTTCATCGCCCGTTTTGTAACCTGAGCCCAAGCTTGCCCTCACTTGCCGAGCCAGCGAGCGCCCTCCTCCTCCTCCTCCACCTCCTCCTCCCCCCCCACTCGTCCTCCTGTTGCTGCTGCCTCCATTTCGCCCTTTTCCTTTTCTCTCTCTCTCTCTCCCTCCTGCCCTCTTGTTGTTGTTCCCTTGCCCTACATTGCCTCGCTGCGCTTCTCTCCTTCGATTGACCCCTCTCTCCTCTCTCTTGCATCGCGCATCGTTCTTCGTCATGCACTTTCAGGTCATCGTGCTTCTCGTTCTCTTCCTCCCTTCGTTACTGCCAATCCTACTCCTGTCTTAAAATCTTGCCCTGCGCACTTTGGTCAAGTTCTTTTGATCTGAGCTTTTTTGTTTCCAAGTCCTAGCCTTACGCTTCTGTGATAAACCCACACGAAGTCCGTGCCAAATTCTCTCCCTTTCATTGCTTTGTCTACTAGGGAGTAACACTGCATTGGTTGCGTTGGTCCCTTGGGAGGCTAGAGAGTGAGCTTAGTTATTGGCCTTATTCAACATGAAAATAGTTTTTTAGCATTTTTGGACGCTGCGCAAACGAGGAACTAGTTGAGGGGCAGAGGTTGGAAGGTATCACCTTAAACGTCGCGATACTCGTATCACCGACATTCATCTGCTTATGCAAGCATGAGCGGTGAGGAACGGGCGCTGAAGAGAGTCTAAAGTGTCCAGAATATACATAAAACAATCCTTCATGGCGCTCACTTCAGCAGACGATCTTTCTAGGGTTTACACCCTGCTTCGAGATGCTCTGAGTCAAGACGAGTCCGTGCGGAAGCCAGCCGAGGCGACGTTGGCTGCTTGTGAGAATCGGCCTGGATTTTGTTCATGCCTTCTGGTGAGAATGTTTGAAGTGAATAGTTTGATAAATTTTCATGCAAAAAATTGTTGAGTTTTCTTCTTTTGATTTTTAGAGCATAATTGTGCGTGAAGTCCCCAAGCATTGTTTCGCCATCCTCTTTTAGATTTACATTGGACCCTGGGAGTCGATTCTGCTAGTGGAAGGACACTCTTCGTAATTGTGACGTCCAAATTTTTACTCGATGCTGTACTACTCATTTTGTTGGAAGCACGGGAGCCCACGGGGGGTGTGGACTTGCCCAACGTGTACAATCATGAATTTGATATTTTCTTGTTCTCTTGGTTGTTTTAGCTTAACGAACGCGGTAAAACATGTCCACCTGTGGGGTTGAGGGTTTTTATTTTATCTTATTTTATTTATAATATTTCTGTAATTATTAGGTTACTTTATCTTTCGGAGTGACAATCACCAAACACCTAGAGCCATCTCTCTCTAATACGGTCCAGCAGCTTGTAGCGTCTTGGTGTCTGTTAGTAATGTTTTCTGTCCAATTTACGCACTATTCCCTGTTTGGACCGACTCCTCACGTCGTTGGACAATAAGTGTTGTGTGGTGACTCTACAATGAGTCATAGATGAATTGTAAATCTCATATTGTTCCCATAATTTGATGGTTATTTATACATCTTTCATAAACGTATGCATCTTATAGCGCTCTGTATCCTGTATTTGTCACCCATTTAATTAGTTCTTCCTTTATGATTGAGACAATAGGTTATGCTTGTCGCTACAGATTTTGTGACTATTTTCTATTTTTGGAATACTTTCTGGTACATTTATCCAGGTTATGCTCAAAAAGTGCTTCATCTTTTATCTTTGCATGATTATCAATTCTCGCCTTAACTGTGTAATGACATGCTACATAATAATGACATATTTAGGAGATTATTGGTGCCAAGGATCTGGGACAGCAAAGCGACGCCCGATGGCTGGCTTCTGTATATTTCAAGAACAGTATTAGTCGATACTGGAGGACTCGTCGAGATTCTCCGTAAGTCCCCACTCAATTAATGTATGAATTGTTTTGAGTGAGTATGTTTGTTCTGAACACTTATTATTTTATTATTTACTTATTTGATGTACATGGATCCTCTCTGGGCTTTGGGTATGCTATTCTTTGAATCTCCACCTTACTTTCTGGGTAGCATTTAACCTTTAGATCTGGGCATTCCTATTTTCGTGTTCGTGATGTTGGTTATGTTTTGTCAAGTTCTAGATATTTTATTTGTACACTGGACAAGGTCTGGTTCATGTCATACACTGAAATGACGTCCTCACCGAATCAAAGCTTGACCTTTATGGCGCTCACAGGGGCATAAGTGATGCAGAAAAACCTCATTTGCGGAACAGGCTGCTCAATTTAATTAGAGAGGAGAACAATCAGGTATGTCTTCGTTTCATGTAATGGGCTTGTGAGTTTTTCGAAGTCTGCTTGTGTGTCCTTACATGTGACGGTTTCGGTGAGGTAGTTTGAGTTCTCGCTGTTAATACAAGGATGAAAGCAACTATCTGTTCAATGTGGCAGGTGGCTGTCCAATTGGCACTTCTTATTTCAAAAATTGCTCGAGTTGATTATCCCCGAGACTGGTACGTGGTGGTGTAGATGTTTTGAGCATGGCTTGAGTGTTCTCTAAGAGTTGGACAAGGATTTATTGATTTTGCACCTTTTTCTGAGGAAGTATGCAGTTTCCATGTAGTTCTTATCATCCTATTATTCGTAAGTATCTCTATTGTACTACTTTTTAATTCGTTAGTATTTTTCATACGATCCTGAACATGTTTTGTACTTAAATATGGTATGTTTTGTGACAGGCCAGAGTTGTTTCCAACGTTGCTGCAGAAGTTACAGTCTCCTGACGTACTCACAACTCAGCGCGTATATTTGGTGCTTAATCAAACGTTGAAGGAGCTATCTACCAAACGCTTAGCAGCAGATCAACGCAATTTTGCAGAGGTTTGATGCATGTACCATTCTATTGCGTCCTTGTTTGTTGGAGGGCATCTTGGGATGGGCATGATGAAACTCTACTTTTGTCTTTTTGGGTTTGTGCTGATGTAGTGACTTATTTTTTAATTCAGTTAAATTAATTAATTTTTTATCTTTATTTTTTTATCATGGCCGATCACGTCCCCTTTTATGGTTCTCAGTTTTTCTTGTTGTTAAAATCTTAAGTTTGTACTTGAACTTTGTTTCTTCTCCCCGAGCCTTGAAGGATATCTCTTGATCTGCATCACGTAGGAGTTTTGTTATTATTTTTACAGAATTTTTCCTTTTCAGCTATGATTTTCTTTTCTGAAGTGGCAGGCATTTTCAAATCATAAAATTTGCTTTTAGGTGTTTTTTCTTAAAAAGTTTGTTTTGACGGATTTCAGTTTTTGGCAATTTTCTATGGATGTCAAAATACACCCAAAGTATCTACTGTATGTTGCTGCGAATTGCCTGCGTCGTATTTATGGTTTCCATGTCGCAGGTAACAGCCCAATATTTTGAGTACACTTGGCATCATTGGTGCACAGATACTCAGGGTATTCTTCAAGGTCTTCGGACACTTCTTGCAGGTCCTCAAACTGCAATTCTTGCTTCGGACCAAGATCAAGCACTTCGGTTGACCTGTGAACGCTGGATGTTATGTCTGAAAGTCCTTCGCCGTATGTTGGTACATGGTTTTCAGAGCGATGTTAAGTCTGTTCAGGTATTCTTCTTCAAAAGATTTTAGATCGCTAAACATATTCTTGAACTGATGCTATTTTAAATATCTCATGATGGGAAAGTGTTTTTTCATCGTTGAATACGGATATCTTCTAGAATATTTTGCTTTAAATAAGGTTAACGAGAGTGCTACGAGTGCTTCTTGGAAAATGTTTTCACGCGTGTAAATGTATTCGTTTTCTCATTGTTTCTCTATATGGTCGGTGCAGGAAGTAGGTCCGGTGAAAGATGTTTGCCCTGCATTTCTACAAGCACTTCAGGAATTTCTGCAGTATCGTGAGTTATACCCCTTGCATGTTGGTTGTTCAGATTTAAATTTACGTATCAACTACAACAGTTAATTAGTTAATGAAGGGCTCTTTAGATTAACCGCAGAGCTTGTTTAACCTGCCAAGCTGCCATTAAGAGTGGGATATACCTTATGCACATTGCAACACCTTTTGTACTACTTAATAGCCAGCTTCCAGTAGAGTGTTGGAGTGACTCCTTCCAACAGTTATTTCTCAACTTTGGATGCAGTATATAATTAACGGATGCCTAAAAGAGTTCTTCAATGTTTGCCCAGATCTGTCTTTACTGTGGTGTGTGTCATGTGACATCATAAGTTATTCTACGAGGCATTTATGAACTATGTTGCGTGTGTTGCAGGTATTGGGTTGAAGCACGGGCAAGTTTTGCAAGCTTTCGTGGATAAGGCGTGCTTGAGATTGATGAAGATATTTATAGAAGTGCAATCCACTCATCCTTACTCATTTAGTAACAGAGCCGTGCTCCCACCCGTTTTGGAGTTCTGTTATATTCATATAACAGAACCGAAAGAGGAAAATTTACCTTTTGAAGTTTTCTTGATCAAGTGTATGATCTTTCTTCAGAATGTTATTGAATGTGTTGCTTACAGGCCCAACAAGTCTGGCAGGGTTGTTGGGCAGAGCACTCCTACTTTGGAAGAAGCCAAAGGGAATTTGGCAAGACAGGCCGAAGAAATATTAGTGTCTCTATTGGATAAGCAACGCTTGGTTGTACTCTGTGAAATTATAATTCGAAGGTATGTAACGATTAAGATTTTCTGCCGTTGACACGTGCAGCTTTAAAAAGGGGAAGTTTCCAGTGTAGTTTGATTGTTTGTGTCTATCAGGATATTATCGGTGTACATCATATTGTATTCGTTACTTCTGTATCTGAACACTCTTGATGTCATTGATTTAATTTGTGTATTCCTAGGTATCCACAGGTTCGCCGGTTGAGATTATTCTGATGGGAATGTAGAAACTAGCGTCTGCATCATGTTGTCTTTTGTTGCAGCGTTTTTCTCCCTCTAGGTCTTCATCATGTTCTTAACGGAGTTCCATTTTATGTAGATATTTTGTGCTCACCCCTGCGGATCTGGAGGAATGGTCAAATGATCCTGAATTATTCCACCATGAACAAGATGCCGGCCAATACAAGGACAAGTTGCGCCCTAGTGCAGAATCTCTATATCTATCTCTATTTGAATCTCATCGGGAGGTAATCTTCTCTGTTCACTTATTGTCAGTGTTATCAGATCTTGTATGATTGTTTCGATGATTGGATGAATGATTGTTGTCAGTCTTGTTATGGAAGGGCTCATTGAGCAAGTCACCCAGGGATTTTCACTAGTATTGAAGTTTGGTGATGCTTCAGGTACATCATGTGTGTAGCCATAGCAGTTTCTCATTTGTTTTAATCTCGGTTTGTGCTGACTAGTGGTATTATCTGCTGTCTGCATTTATATACATTGTTATGACTGAAGTTTCTTGCAAATACGCGCTTGCCCATGCTCTATTCTTCATCATTCTTACTTCTTTTGTTCTTCTGTTTGAGAAGTTCTCAAACCGCACTTTCAAATCTCATTTTGCACGCTTTTTCGTTCAAGTTCACGAAATGGAGAATTATGTTTTAACTGCAGCTCTTGGCTCCGGTGGTGGTTAGTATTCTTAAACAAGCATCAGAAGGATGTCCTCCTGCTGCTCCTGGGGCTGACATTCAAATTACACCAGCTCTACTACTCAAAGACGCTGCATACGATGCAGTTGGGACGGCCTATTATGATCTTCATGATTACATTGATTTTAAATCTTGGTAAGTGGATCTTATGGTTGTGTTTTGTTATGTGTTCAGGATTTCATGTCGTTGTACGACAAGATTGTTACTTTTAGTATGTTGTTTTTCGATTTGAGGGTATCTTTCTGCCTTTTGATGGTGTCTTCTCCCGTTGTTAGTAGACTACGCTGCAGCGGTTAAGATTCTTTTGAAGTGCTTGATTAGATTGTTTTCCGTTTCGATGTGTGATCTGTGAATCTGTTCATGAGTGTTGGAAAGAGTCTAATAGTTTGTTAGACTTGTCCATTGTCTTTGAGTATTTTTCTCTCTGAAATCTCCTCGTCATATTCACTCGTATCATGTACTCTATCTACTTCAGGTGGGAGGCAGCCCTTGTGCACGAAATCAGTAATCTTCATCCAAACGGCCGAATCCTTCGACGGAGAGTTGTTTGGCTTCTGGGTAAATGGGTGAACAAGGTCTGTTCTTAGGGATCAGCACTTCAAGGACTCAAATGTTTCTAAAAATCACCCAAACCTGCATTGGTTGGGTTTAGCTGTATTGATTGGGTTCAGCTGATTGTGATTTCCCTCTTATCTTTTTACCAGATTAAAGACGAGCTGAGGAAGCCTGTTTACAATGCTTTGATAAGTCTTCTTGGGGATGGCGACCTAGCAGTACAAGTGAGAAGTTAACTTATTGTGCATATACTTAATGTCTCACAGTCGAATATGAGTTGGATGTTATTGTTTTCACATGCAATAATAAATAGAAAAGCGTGGATTCTTCGTTTTAAGATACAATTGGAAGCAGGAATTCTGACCTTCAAGAAATTAACTTCAGTTTTTTGTTGGTACAGCTGGCCGTGTGCCTTGCTTTGCAAAGCCTAATAGATGATGTCCACTTCTATGAAGAGGAGTTTGTGGAGTATGTTCCAACGTGTTTGAGACTTTTGATCCAGTTTATGGAGAGGGCGCAAGAGTTTGAATCTAAGGTCTGGTTTCCTCCCTTGTACCTTCAGTTTAAGTTAATTCTTTTTTCCCCAAAAGCTTTCAAATTACTTCGAGACCTAAGCGATTGTAAGTGTGCAGCTTTTTCTAGTGGCCAGATAAATTTAAATCTGGATGTCAATGCCAGGCATTTCTTGTTTTAGTTTTTAATTATTATTTTTTAAAATGTTGCAGCTTCAGATTTTCAACCTCGTGGTGCTTATAATTGATCGTCTTGGTGAGAAGATTGTTCCGTGTGTGGAGAAGATTCTAGCATTTTTACCCCGAGTAAGATGATAAGATTCGCATCTGATACTTTGCAACCTAATCGTATGTTAGGAACATTGTTTTGGCCAAGTTAATCACTGTTTTTGTTTGTTTACTATTATGTGGTTGCTTGTCATCAGACGCGTCATTCAAAATATGCATCACTAAATGCAATTCAGCAAATTAGACAAGATATTGATGTTTGTCGTTTTGGGCTTTGTGTAGGTTTGGCAAGATTCAGAAGGACAGAGCTTGCTGCAGATACAAGTAATGCTTGCACTTCAACGGCTTCTGGTTGCACTTGGACCCCGCTCTCCAATTTGCTATGAGATCCTTTTCCCAATTTTACAGTATAGCTCAGATGTAAATCAGCCTGATGAGCTTAATATGCTGGAGGATGGTATGCAGGTATACAAATTATATCTGTTTGATGACATTCACTAACATGGTCAACGTAGAGGACTGTATTAAATGGTTGGTGTTGTTTATTATCGTATTGGTGTATTCCTGATAACTTGTATTGAGTGCATATTTGTCGTAGTATGCTTGCTGGGTATCAGTCCCTTGTATCTTACGGGCTTTGTGATGATCTGTGCTATCAGCTTTACTTTGCTAGTATGTCTGCCCTTATTTCTACATGTTTTGTTTTGTTTTGTTTTTTTAATTTTTTCAAGGAAATTCTGGTTAGTACTTTTGTACTTTTCAGAAACTGAACTCTGTTGCATGGCGTTGCAGTTGTGGCAAACGACACTGAAAACTGCTCCTGTAATGGTGCCTCAACTCATGAATCTTTTTCCTCATCTTGTGGCTGTTATGGAGCGGAGTTTTGATCATCTTCAGGTGAGACCATGTGGTGTTCTGAATTTGCCTTCGTTTTTGAAACAAAGGTTTAGGGCAATGGATGAGAATTAACTAGTACTTCTATTATTATTTTTTGTCTTATTTATTTGTTTTTCCGCAATAGCAATAAAATCGATTTTGTCTCGCATCTTCATACCCGCGTTATAGGAAAAGCTATTCTGTTGTGGTTTTCACAAAATACCGAAAAGCAATTACCACTCATTTTCTCACACAGTTGGATATTGCAATTAAACAAAGTAATTTCATTTAGTTTTGGCTGAGCAGCATTTGTAAGTACAAACTGTAGCAATCGAAAATATTATTTGATTTTTTCTATTCTTTATTCAATATGTACTGTCGCAGGTGTCGTCTTCATTTTGTTTTTTGTAGTGATTTAAGATATTTTGGACTTGCAGGCTGCCATGATAATCATTGAAAGTTACATTCTTCTAGGAGGGGCTGATTTTTTGAGGTTGCATGCCAATGGCGTAACGAAGATTTTTGACATTGTTGTTGGGAACGTGAAAGAGAGAGGAATGCTGTGTACTCTTCCTGTCATTGATTTACTTATTCAGGTGCTGTATTAAACCTTACTGCCTTGTATACTGGTTTTATTCAATCGGGGAATGATCAGCGCACATTTTTTTATGCTTTTTCCAAATTTACAAGTTTGTTTGATTTTCTTTTAAACATTTTCGCTGGAGTTGTTGATATTCACCAAGATGGCATTTTAATAGGAGTTTTGGTTGCAGAACACTGGTTTTTCACTATTGGTCTGTTGTTGTTTTGTCGTTGTTTGAATTTATCGGATTGTGATTGTTCAAATGGTTGTGTCAATAGTTTAGGGTTTTCTAGTGTATCGGTACTTAAAGTATCCTGGTTGATTTGCAGTGCTTTCCGACGGATGCCCCTGCACTGCTGGAGGGTATACTGCAGGTAGTACTTTGGATCAGGAATTGGATGTTCCTTATGCATAATTTCCATAACGTATCCTTAAATCAAAGCACAGCGCATGTAACGCTTTTGGGGATCACAATGATATGTTGACAGTTTATGCTACCAAATTTTTACGGTTGATTCCGTCAAGACAGTTCATGAGCCGGCTTTATCCCGACAACATTTTTCTAACATAATGTGTTAAAATGCAGAAACTTTTAGTGCTGGTGGTAAGTGGTCGAGATGAAGCTGACCTGGTGAAGGCATCTGCAGGAGCAGTGCTAGCGAGAGTATCTGTCCAAAACAGTGCCTTCTTTGCACAGTTCACTTCGCAGCCTTCTCTTTCCCTTGCTCTACAGCAATCAGGGGTGGCTGTCTCGGACCAGAGTGCTCTTTTTCTTTTCTTTGATGCTTGGCTTGACAAGGTAGTAATGGTCCATTGCCTTAATATTTCTCTGTATCTTTTCTGTTTTCATCACCTTGAAGTTTAAAAATTAGTTTTCAACTTGTGTTATTCTCAAATATGTGCTTTATTATGCTTATGAGCAAAGTTCCTTTTCTTCTACGCTTTCTACACATTGCTTATAATGGTTCAACTCTGATTTATAGGTGGATTCTTTGACAAGTATGTCAAAACGGAAGTTATGTGCTCTTTCCCTTTGCATGTTGCTTACAATAAGCCAACCGCAAGTCCTGGATAGACTTGTACAGATTCTCAGGTAAGACGTGATTCAACCTTGTCATGGAATGGTTTTGTGTGATGCGCTTACATTGTCAATATCTTTTTCACCTCTGTTACATTTTTACCTTTTACCTTTTTGCTCTTTATGACTTTGTTTCTTTAAATACTGAACAAGAATTTCTTGTATGTAAATTATTAGGACAAGTCCGTCGTTCTGTATGTTCCTGTTAATTTGTCTCAGGCTTGTAGTTAGAGACTTGAACTTGCTTTGAGTGCATGTCAAGAGATTTTGAGTAGATTCTTTAGCACACGTTCAAATTATCGACGAATGTCGTAGAATTCACACCTGAGTTCTACCGATTTGCAGTGTCTGCACTAGCGTCCTCCATGAAACAGAGGAGGACAATGACTCCAGTATATCAGGGTATGTTCCTAATAACAGCTATGTCTTTTCTTTACATTATTGCTAGGATTTGCTTACGAGAAATAGCTGACATCGGAGAATGTGTTTGAATGAAGGTTCTCATTGGGTGGTGGGTTTGGGTGTGTCAGTTATGACTACAACAGTGCAGAAGATGGATGTATGGGACCTGTCGAAAGTGAAGACTCTAGGAAAAGACAGGTGAGGTCTCGAGAACGAAGGTTCGATTTTTGTCGCAATTATTTATTGCTACTTAATCGGCCACGAATTTTGATTTGTTTCCGTCTTGTATTCCGGACATGCCTTCTTGACTTTTTGTGGTATGAAATGCACAGGTGATTAATGCAGATCCTATTAATAAGGTTCCACTGGCTCTGTTCTTGAAGGAGAAGCTACAAACGTGTGCTCAACTTCATGGTAATGCTGCATTTAATACTGCAATGGGCCGGCTCCATCCAACACTTCTTGACCAGCTTCAACAAATAATGCAGTCCTGACCATTCCCAGAACAAGTGATATGCCAAGCTCTGCACTGAACTGCACTGCCTCAGCTGGTGTATTCATTCTCATTTAGAAGGGTGGTGATTAAGAAACTCCTTGAAATATGTGGAAATTACTGCGGTGGATTCATAAAACACGGTGGGTGGAGGTTCCCGTTATCAAGGCCCATATGCTTGATATTTGACGCTGGAAGGCTGCAAGATTCGTCTCTCCTGTAAGCTATTCATCTATTTATGGTTGGCACTCTAGTAGAATTTGTCCGCAAGGACTTCCCATAGCTTCCTCATATTGTGAAACTGCAAACAAGGACTTTCCCTCTTTGAGATTGATGTTGTGGTTCTCATACGATCTTTCGCGTGTTGCAGATGTGTAATCTTGATTATTAGATCATATCACATCACTTTGGCGCACAAGAGTCTATTGCATGCTCGAGGATCACTTGCGTCCTTCCAGCTTCCTTTTCCCATCTTGACCGAAAATATGATATTGTCAGTTTATTGAGCGTCGATTCATTTCGGTGAAATCAATTTAGCCATCAAGTTACTCTGAAAGTTGAGTATACTTGCCGAGTTTGTTCGAATATTTGTGCTGTGTGGAACATAATCGTAATTGGATTGTAGGTTCACGTACTTTTGAGAAGTAGAAATCTAAATGATTGATCTCGTATACTGATTAATTGGTGACTATTTTGATGAATTAGAAGTGTGCACATTACTCCATTATTTGATTATTCTGATTAATGTTGTGTACTCACCTGTACTAACTGCAAGGCGAGTGCCATACACGTGGATAACGATAGCGACAACTCGCCGAAAATATGGCCTTGTGGCAGAATAATTGTGACTCCCTGTTCTGAATTAATAAAGATTGAATCGTAAGATGAGGTATTCTGCAAAGGTTGTCTGGTTATTGCGATTCGCAACGACTATCTTTTCTGAAGTTTCGTCAGGTCCTTCCTGAAGTTTATCAAAGAAGTCAAAAGTAATTTACAATAAATGCAATTATATTTGTGTAAGCCAATTGAGATAGTTTAGTTGTTAAAGAAAAATTTCTAATTTGTGTATCTTTTAAATTATTTAATTTATATTAATTAAAGTATTAAACATAAGCTTTTTTGGCAAGTAAAAATTCACTCCTTTGTCCTTACATTCATATTCAAAATTATTAAATTCTACTAATTTTGTAGAAGTATGTAAACTCAAAAATTTCTATAAATAAAAGAAAAAGAAAAAGAAAAAGAAATGTAGTATTACAAAAATAATATAAAAAGAAGATAATCTATAATATTTAGTGTGATATAATTTTTTAAAAAATAATGATAGTTATTATTTATTGATTATTATTTACTTTAATTTTTATAAAGTAATGAAAATATAAGAAAATATTATAAAATAATGCTTAAAGATAGAAGAGGGAGGAAGAAACAATTCATTATGAGAATATTTTTTAAACACAAGAACTTAGGAGGCATTTAATTGGCAGCTCCTAATACATAAGAGCTTGGCAAGAAATGCAAGAAGAGAAGATCCAAAATTGGGTGAATACTTGCAAGTTTTGAGCAAGGGGAAAGAAAAGGATAATTCACAAAAAGAATGGTACCAAAACATGACTAATAATTATTAGTAGAGTTATTACTGCTGAAGAAGAGGTAGTATGCAACTCCACCCCTACTATACTACAAGGCCTACCATCATAGTGCCAAGACTTGCCATTTGCTCAGAGGTAGAGGATCAACAAATCATATTTTTCTCAGTTGAGATATTGTCATAAAATTGTACTGATGCAGATGACTTTGATGGTTCCGTCTTTGAATCTTTCACCTCTACAACAGCTTACAGGTGCTCAGTTTGTTGCTATTCCTAGTTGCAAACTTATTCCATCAATGCAAAGCCTTCCACCTAGAATAACAAACAATCTCCAAGCCCCAATTCCTAACATGTGCAGAATCTTTCAACACTCTCTTGATGGTTTCCTTGCAATCCTTCTTGCCATTGTAAACACGTATCTTACTTTTGCCTTCTGGTGAATGTGATAGATCCATATCAAAGTACTAGATAATGATGCATGTATTGCCATTATTCAACTGGCCCCCTACCACAAAGTGCTTGCCATCCACCATTGAAGATGCAGAGTTGTCCATTGCGCTCTGTCATTTGGGCAAAGGTGGGACTACAAACCATCAATTCAACAGTGAATTATATACATGCCACATGTTGGCTCTTACCAGATTTTAGTAAAAATGTTTACTTTTTATTATTACAAAATATCATTTTAGAATTTAATAATGATACTTTATTTTGGTTATTAAATAATCAAATATAACAAAAGAAAAATACCTTAGGGCAAGAATGGCGAAGCAAGTCTTTATTTTTTGGTATCTTAGAGCACTTATCACAACTTTTCGTATATCACCATGTTTAAAATATTTTTGGAGGGAATTTCTCCTTGAATTTTCAAATTGAGAATTTCCTCATATTGAAAGAAAATGTACTTAACAATACAACTAACATTCATTCTACTGTAAATTTGACCCATACTAAGTGCTTTTATCTACAAAAGACTGATTGCTCTCGTTTCCTACTTGTGTATGTGTACTTCGTGCTTTCAGCAAAAAAAAAGATATTATGAACAAAGAAGTACCAGTGTCCATAAAGGAGCCATTCTTTTGTCAATGAAAGCTCTTGCCAAAGAGACAACCTAATTTTGGAAGAAGTAAAATTGATTGGTTTGTCAAACTTCTAGCTGTGGAAGTACTTATTGACCCGCATAGCTAAACGGGAGAAGCTTTGGTCGATACTCTCAAGACAAACCCTTGGTCCAAAGAAAGAGGAATCCAATGTTGACAGTACAAAGAAGCTCATGTATATCATGAGCATGCCAATCAAACCTAGTTTCTTATCACAACTTGTGGAATTTTAGGAACCGAAGCCATTGTGGGATTTTTTGTGCAGGTCGTAGCAACAGTTGCAATTTGGAAGCCCATTCTCGGATTAACCTTCCAGGCGCTTTCTAGTGATCTATTGCCAATGCCCCACATGAATGAGAAAGGCTCCCGCCTATAGATGCAACATCGGCAGTTCCATTAACTTGGGAGCATTATCAGCTTTCAGTTATTTTCTAGGCTCAAATTATCTATTATCTAGATCCCAAAAAAATGCGACTACATGCATAACCAAAATAAGCACCCATCCCTCGAACATATACCCAAGATCACCACGATACACTGCCTCTCCACACTACTCTACCTTCACTTCCAAGTGTGGCTATAAAAAAACAAATACAAACAAAATCCACCACTCCAGAGAAAACCAAAGCACCCAACCATAGTGCGCAACCATCTGCACTGCCATAGCTACTGACAACTTCTCGAAAACAAAATCTGTTAACAAAACTAAAGAAATTAGCGACAAAGAATCCACAACCCAGTAGTACAATTTGCAAGATGAAAGTGCGTCAATGGAGAGCGGTTCATTGTTGTACTCACTTGCTTCATCAATCAGAGTAAATGTATGCAACAGCCATCAGAAAAACCGATCAAATGTATGCACCTAAACCTTGATCAGTGATGTTGGTGAAGAAGTCATTATTGCATCTCAACAACTCTGTTATTTAATATATATATACTGAGAATTATATTTACTGAGAATTATTAAATATCCTAAGTAAATATCTATATTCATTTTTTTTAAAATTTAAAGGTATTTCTTTTTAATTAATTTTACAATATGCATTTTTAAGTATTAGTATTAATTTCTTCTAATTTCATAAATTAATATCAATTGATATTGATAATTTTTTTTATTGTCATTTATTTAAAATTATTTTATATTTTATAATCTAAGACTTAAATATATATATAACTTATTTGCTACCAATAAAAACATTTCTATACAATTTTTATACTTAATTTCATATTTTTTTGATATTTACATGGAATAGTATTATTTGAATTAGTCATAATCTTAAATTTAATTGAAAAATTAAGTATAAAATTAATGATTTAGGAAACATTTTAAAACCATGAATCTTAATTTAAAATTCTTACAATTAGAACATACTTTCTTTCCTTTGATCTTTTCTGCAAAACCAAATAATCTACATCTAGGACATATCATCTCTCCAACCTTTATTATATCCTTTAAGCATAATGGATTGAACACCGGCTCTTTGAGTTGTATGAATCCCATATGTCCCAAACAACATTTTGGATCAGAGCATACAGAGCAGTAGACTAAGGCTCTTGTTCCCAAAGCAGAAGAACCTATGTCATTCTTGTTAATAATTTGTGTTGAGGATATTTGAATAATCTCCTTTGTAGAATAAAAAGAAAATGATATAGTCTTCAGCTGGCTAGCCATTGTATATAATTATTTTTGTTTTGTGTATTTAAAGATATAAATTAAAAATATAATTATAGCTATAAATTATTTAATTATTCTTACTTACATAATGTCTTTTGGTTTTTTTTATGTCTTTTAATTATGTTTGAATTTAAAAATTGTGATTTTACAATTATATTGTAAAAAATTAAAATTAATTTTATGTCAAGGATAAGAACTCAATGAAGGCAAATATACAAGTGAGACTTTTTTCAAAGAAAGATGACAAAATAGAAATAAGAAAGTATATGTATTTAAAAGAAACTAAAATAGATGTTTCCCAAAGGTAAGAAAATTAGAAATCCTTGAAACTAAACTAAAAGCAAGAAAGAAGTTGACAAGAGTGAAAAATCCTTTATTCTTGCCTCTATATATACTATCTACCAAAGAGCTACATAGCGACATTCTATAGGATCTCTAATAAGTGTCTAATATGCAAGATACATGTTTTAACTTGCAATTCAAATTTTCTATATGTATGCCACATCATTAGCTTATATCACAAGTTACTAATATATGCAACATGTGACTAACTTATTGGCCAAGTTTATAATCTATCAATCACCTTTAGATATGTATAAAGATTAAACTACATCTATATAGCTTCTAAGAAGCATCTGTAAAACATATTATAAAATTAATTTATTTTTATCTACTTTTATTTATTCATATTACCTAAATAACTATTAAAGTAAATATATATATATATTTGTGACATTATCCCTCCTTCTAGGAATGAGTTCCATAAGGAACAATGATTACATGTTGATGAAGTCTAAGATTTGACAAATTGTATTTATCACATATTTTGATTGTTGTTGCTTTTGAAGATAGTTAATATGTCTTCTTAGTAATTAATAATATCTCACACTAGGACAAAAATACTATCTTTTAATTTGAACATTGTTGAGGCCTTCATAACTTCTTTTAAATAAAATATTTGTTATACCATCAAAAGTCATTCATACCTCCAATAAAATCACCAAATACTTGGAATTTCTTCCAAGGTTGTAATACCAAATGCATTGTATCTCACCATCTATTTGAAGAAGAATATGTTTTTCTTGAAGATCTTCATTTTGATTACATTATTTTGAAGGATATAATAATTAAAATATATTATCTAATAAGTCAACAAATGATGGCTCTTCAGTTGAATCTATAAGTTATAGATTTTTATTTCATTAGGATTATAAAATATATAGAATTGATAATGAAGGATAGAAATAGAATACAATCTTCATTGAACATCCTTTGTTTTACAACAAGGAATTACTTGACTCTTCATTTTGATTTTGATGGATGTTGTTGATGAAAAGTTTTAACCTTATTTATTGCATTTTTAAGATTCTTTGTTAGCTTCTTGTGCATTCACTAATATTGTATCTGTACTAATGAACATAATATTTCAACCTATTTTGATATTGCCTTAAATCTAAGAATTCTTCTATCTCAAATTCTTGATTATTATTGACTTCTATAAAAGACGGTAGTATATTTCTTCTTCTCAAGATATT